TTATTTATATGTACAATTATTAATTTTTGACCAATCCTTAGTATACAAATCTGATTCTATCGATACCCACCCATTCCAATTATGCATAATAATATATTCTCAATTTCTGCCCACAATAGAAATAGAAAAAGAAGTTTTTGTAAGTTTTGGTTTGGTATGGCTATGCTTTATTTATTTTCGTGAAAATTCGCAAACTGCGCTACAAGTTGCAATGTGTTTCTTTCATTTTAAATAAGACAAGATGTGTGGCCTTATATCAAATCTATGAATACAAATACATTTTTATCGGTAAATCGAATTGAAATATTTTCCTGTTATGCGTTTCGTTCATATGTTTCTTTTATCATGATTTTTACACACATATATATATATATATATCTTTATAAATATTCTTTCCTTGTTAAATGTATTATCAACTATATACAAAATTGATAGCAACACCTTGTGTATGTGTGTGTGTTCGCATAAATGATAAAGTATATGGATAATTATAATAGAACTTTTATCAGAAGAATCGTTTTCAGTTTTCAATACTAACAAGTAATTCGTCGCTCTAGATATCTACAACTTAAGCTAGTGATTACGAATAAGTTAGATTTATTTAGTTAGGAGTCCGAAAATTAGATTACGTTGTTTTAGATACAATATTTTACACGGGGATGCTCGTAAGACGTATTTTTAGACTGGCTGAAAATGTGATTCGTGGTTGGAAAACAAGCGAGTGACATTTGTGGATAGCATTAGGAGAAGTGAGGAGCAACAGAATGGCCTGTAGAAGAGCAATAGAAGTCCAGCAATTAATGCTCTTCGGCTGTCATTAGTGCGTTCAATAGTAGTTATAAATAAATGTGCAACACATAGATCAATATATATCTATATATGTAAAAGTCTCTTAGGTACACAGCAGACGTGTCACGCAGCTTATTGCATTTTGGAAACTTCAAACTTGGTATTGATGACCTCCTCATCGGAATCGAGCACCGGCAACGCGGAATCGCCCATTGCTGATGGTATATTCTCCTCCACCCAGCGCAAATCATCCTCCTCGGTGGTGGTGGCCGCACGCGAATTCGCTGCTGTTCGGCCTGTGCCATTTTGATTTAAGCCACGGTTTTTAACGCCATACGCATCCGCCACAAACTGATCCTCTTCATCTGTAATAGATACGAAGCAGTGTTAGTTTAAGCGTGTTACTTTTTGCAGCCTTCAGCCTGCAGCCTACCATCATCATCCTCATCCTCCGGATTGTCTAGCAGCGGCGTAAACGCATAACGCTGATTGTTGTTGGTGGGTCTCCACAGTATCATGATAACCAGCAACAGCACAGAGAATAATATATGCCAGAAGCCCGTATCTAGCCAGATATCATGCCAGCCCTGGGTAGAAAAAAATACATATGTTTTATATATGGCTAGCAAGGCAGATTGGAGTCTTATGAGCTTACGGGCGTGCAGTTTTCGCTTCTACGCAAACGCAAGGCAAACAACATGAAGATAACGGAAGCGATAACAGCGAATATCAGCGTATTGGTGAAATGTCTGTACAGCGATAGCTTAACCAGATTTCTGAAAGTACAACATTTAATATAATAATGAAAGTGAGTGTATATTATATGTTCTTACCTGCGCAGACGCAACGTGCGTGTGGTCTGCACGAGCGAAGTAAATATCCACCAGCAAATGACTGTATCCAGTACAGCCAATGGGATGGTGGCCAACAGCAGCTCGCTGCGATCGCTCTTCACCCTGGTAATGCGCAAATAGCTCTCGACACAGGCCAATATAAAGTACAAAGTGCCCATGCCCACAACACGATGCAGCATGGGTCCCAGACGCGGTCTGGCAAAGGGTAACATATAAAATGTGATTAGTAGGAGCTTAAAGCTTAGTTCTTAACCCTGCTTATTACTTGACTATGCCAAAGCCCAGACTCATTATGATGACCAGCATGCGGGCCAGCGTGCGCTTAGCACAGGACACGAATTCCGCGACGAGCTCGGCATGCTGCACTGGAAAGCCAGTATTGGCGACTGTCTGATATTCCGCATAGAAGAATGCTTTCTCGAGCATGCCCAGCAATATGACGCCGCCAATCCAGAATTGTATGCGCAACAGATCGCGCCATTGTGCGAATGATACAAATAGCCAAATGATGCCAAAAATGACATAGTTAATGCACATTATCCAATAGAACTGCAGAAGATATTTTAAAGCTATAATATAAATTTTAACAGATGAGAGCAATAGGTTTACCGGCAAGAATGGCCAATCTATGGCTGATATATAGCCATGCGGTCCCAGAAACTCAATGCGTACAGCTGCGCGAAAGGATTGGGCAGGCGTCGTGGCCAAAATGGTCAGCTCCACCTCGTAGATGCCATCTTCAGCAATATTTGCAATGGGTTTGCGAGTTGCCTGTAAATGCAAAAAATAATAATTTTTACAAACGTGTAAGCAAGGGTAAGGATGTTCAGGATGACAACCCCAGTTGATATAGTTGCGTTTGGCAATTACGAACTTCTATAGCATATCGACAGGCAATTTATGTTCTTTTTTAATGAAACTCTTATGTCTGTTGCTATCCAAGCTGGTCTCGCAGTCTCAAATCTATTGTCATAAGATTCGTTTTCTGTTCGTATTATGTTGTATATTAGAATCGGACGGATTGGATCTCTATAGCTTGTAGCTACCTTAGGCATAACTAGTCAAAAATTTAAGTTGCATGAAAAACTGTTTTGATTCGCAAGATTTTGCACACTCGTTTCCCTTAAATTCTTATTGCTCTATAGAGCAAATTGATCAATAAGAGCTTTTATTTTGTGAACTATTCGGTTTATCAATATATCTCGATCAAACTAATTAATTACAAGCTTTACTATTCTCCTCAGAAGTCCGCAAGCATGTAGCTAACAGCGTAATTAATTCTTATTTAAATTAAAATTCAGCTTTGGTGGCCTTCGTATAGTTCTGTATCTGTTTAGAACATTTTATTATTGTAAACAACCAAATTATACCCTCGCAGTGTTTATAGCTAGTGCGTGTCCCTGGAATTGTTCATTCATTTATTCTCATATATCAACAGCCAAGTCTTTATATGGCTTTTTTCTTTTCTTTTATTCGCCTGCTTCTATGTCAACTGGTCGCTCAGTTTCTTAAGCTGTCTGTCTATCTAAATACATAACTTTTTTCCCGACTGATCTAATCGACGTGAGCGCTAGGAGTACATTTTTGCTAATTGTTTTTTTCCACTAGGAAGGAGTCCCTAAACTTCCAGGAAAAGTGCTGATAAGATTCTTTGCCTGTTCATGCTTGTATGAACATATAAAACTTGTTAAGATACAACTATTCTTTCTGGTGGTTTGTTTCCCTAGAACTTTATCAGCAGTCTTTAGCTTCCGCACGGATCGGTGGGCACGCCCACGCACACAATCAAAGTACGATATGTGAAATTCTTGATAACATTAAGTATTTGCGTTAGGTATTGTTATTGTTGCTGTGCGTGAAACGCAAACTGAGTCACGCACACGCTCACACAGACACACGGACTTGCTGAAATGGCAATTACCGATAGCGGATGTTTGGTCTGCTTTAGAGGATGCACATCCTCGGCCTGCAGCTCGGTGGCCGCGTCACCGGTGTCGGTGAGGGCAATGAGATGCGTGCAGTTCACATTGGTTGTTGTCGATTTGATGAGCTGCCTGAAGCTGGCATTTTGCTGCAGATTCGGATTGTCGTTCAGTGCCTGCAGCTAGAAATAAAGACGATATATGTATATAATTGCATTGCATTGATTATTTCACAATTTTCACTTACAAAACGGCCCTCGTACATGCATCGATGTTTGGTCAGCTTGAAGTTTATGGTTAGCGGAACTTCCCCCTCGGACGAACACTCCACTTGATTGTTGGTGCAGGGGGGTTGGTGGGAGGAGGTAAGAAAATGTTTTCAGTTACTGCGAATTGGTCACGTTGCAATTTTTCATACTTACGTTTTATGTATATCTTGGTGTTGGCCAATAAGGGACGCTGTTCGACAATCGGTTGCAGATCCTCCTAAATGGGTTTTCGTTTTAGAATTTACCATATTTTTTTTGCATTGTTTGCTTTTCACCTGCTCTATGACAACGTCAATGATACCGGGATCTGATTTGCCAGCCGCCAGAGTGGCAAAAACTGCCAGCAGCGCCAACGTGACTGTAAAATGCTTCCACATTATGTATACGCCACACGAATCCACCTAAATAAATATTTATTTATTTTCTATGTTGCTGGCTACGCGTTAGAACAATACTATAAGTTATCGGCTGATAGCTTATCGATTGTTGTTGTGTGTGCGCAGTCGAGGCTGTGCCGGCGTCTGAACAATATAAATTTGTTATTTAGTAATTACCAAAAATCATATTAGTCATACGAATAACATTTTTTATTTGTACTTATTGCTAAAATTTTAATTACTATTTACTTCAAGCAATTTTGCTATAAGTATCGAACAGCTGTTCCAATTGCATCAAGAGAATTGCTAAAAATATTGCCAGTACCAACATAGCATAACAGCACTCGTTCGCTGTGAATGGCAATGTTGTCGTTATCGGCTTATCGAATAGTCTCGAATTTTGCATTGAATTTTTTGGCTTTGCAGCTCGTTCCAAATGTTTTTATCGCCATAAAACATGGTAAATGTTATGAAAGGAGTGCTTGTGGAATGGTAAGTGTGCGATTTAAACATTTATTCAATTTCTCTACTCAAATTCTACGTTTTGGCCGACCCGCTGAACAGTGATCCGGCTATGAAACAATTTTTGCTACATTTGGATGAGAAGCTGGCGTTGGGTCGCAAATTTATCATACAGGACTTGGACGAGAATCATCTGTTCATCTCCACGGACATTGTTGAGGTGCTACAGGCGCGCGTTGATGAGTTAATGGATCGCATTAACTTTCCATTGCACGAGAAGGACGCCTAAATATTATTTTAAACACAACAACTGCTACAACCAAAATCATGACGGGACGCGAATCGCATCGCATCAAGGATGCGGAGAAGAAACGTGTCCTGGATGAAGCGGCAAGACAGCGACGCGTACGCAAAGCTCTGGAGGCGCTGGAGCAAGATAACTTTCAGGACGATCCGCACGCCGATCTGGTCATGTCCAAAAAGTTACCCAAGTTCCAGGACAGCATCAAAAGTGGCAAAGAGAAGAAGGGCAAGCGCAAGGGCGCCGAGTACTTTCGTGCCAAATACCGCAAGAACTTCCAACAACTGCTCGAGGAGGACAAACAGAAGCCCAACTATGAGACTGCAGCCGCACCGCCGCCCAAAAAACCAGTGCGTCATTTCTGTGCCGTCTGTGGCAACTTTTCGCAATATTCCTGCACCGCATGCGGCACACGCTATTGCCGTGTCCGCTGCCTGCGTACACATCAGGACACTCGTTGTCTGAAGTGGACCGCCTGAATTTGGTTGTAGAGCTACTCATATCCCATAAAAAACTTTTTTTGTGTTGTAATCATGCAATTAAACGAAAATATAAACAAGTGCTATCCGTAAGATATATCGATATTCGAAAGCTTATTGGAATGAATATCGATATGGTAGCCTCTCTCAATCGATAGCATAAAGTTCAGAGTGGAGTTGGACAATTAGTCGTGCTCTCGTGACAAAAAGCCAATTTAATTTCATTAATTTATTAATAAATAAGAAACAGGTATTGTACAAATTCGTGCGACTTAAAAAAGCTTCGACACGCGTCCATCTCTAAGCCAGAGTTGTCGCCAGCTCGTGCTCACTAAGGCTCGTGTATGCGGCATGATTTGTAGCTTTTCGTTGTGCGGTCACACCAACGCGCAGTCTCAATTCATTGTTCAAACAAGGCAGTTGCTGCGCACGATTGTCGCATTGTAAAATAAATTAAATTTTAAGTATAACGGACACCGCTGCTAACAAATTCAGATCAAAACAATTTTGACAAGCATTTTAATATTTTTTACACAAAAAATAAACAAAATCAAAACGCAGGCAAGCAACAAACAGCCGGCCAAGTGCGTGAGTGCGTGTCTTTCTCTGTGTGCGCCCATTCATATGTGTGTGTGAGTCCAAGCCGAAAAAAAGGATACCAAAGCAACAAGAACAACAACAACAGCCGGAGCTGCAACAATTTATTTAGAATGGATTTCAATTTCGGCGATCTGAAAAAGGAAGCTGCCGCCACGGCCGACGACATTTTTAGCAGCGCAACCAGCGCAGCCAATGCGGCCTCCAAGAAGGTGGCCAACACCTATGACGATTTGCTGGGCGACCTCAGCGCCGGCGACAGCGCTGGCAGCAGCAGCGGCGGCGGCGGCGGCGCAGCCAACGTCAGCAGCGGCGCACAGGATGATAATGCGCATACCGAAAAGTATTTTGCCAACGAGCAAAAGAATCTTGATTTCGGCGACCCGCAGGCGTTCGTGCAGCGCATGTCCGCTGGCGCCAAGGAGGCCCAGGAGCAGCTGGACGCCAAGTTTGCCCAGCAAACGGATGACTTTGGTGATTTCCTCGCGCAGACCGGCAAGGCCGCCAAGCATGGCATCGGCGAGCTGACCAGCGACTTTATGAATGTGGAGCGTGGCCTCTACGGAGATGCGCCCAAACCGGCTGCTGTTCCAGCTGTTGCGCCCTCTGTTCCAGCTGCTAAGCCCCCGGTTCCAGCTGTTCCAGCTGTTGCGCCCTCCGTTCCCGCTCCGGCACCGCCCAAACCTGCCAAGGAGCCGGAGGTAGATTTGATGGGCAGCTTTAGTCAGCCGATGACCGCGCCACTGCAGCCATTTGCAGCCACGGCGCCGACGGCCAGCGATAAGTTCTACGACGATGACGATGATGACTATTTCAGCAAGCCGAATCCAACAGCTGCAGCGGCCGTTGCCGCAGCTGCAGCTGCTCCAGCGCCTGTTGTGGGCAACAAGGATTCCGACACAGATTCGCCGTCCGTTTCGTATACACCGTCGCCGGCCAAGAAACCCATTGCCGATGCCCTCAAGGAGCAGGACCATGAGAAGTTCATCTCTTCCGAGGATCTGCTCAGTGACTTCAAGGAGGATCGCACAGCTACGCCGCCCGTGGCGCCCAAAGCAGCAGCGGCAGCAGCCACTGTACCAGCACCAACACCCATTCCGGCTTCGGCTACGGCTCTGGTCACCGATTTGGACGATGAAGAGATTGTTGTGAAACCAACACCCAAACCGGAGCCCGTCAAGCCCGTGGCCAAGCCCGTGGCCAAGCCCGTCGAGCCGCCCAAGGTCAAGGCGCCAGCACAGCAGCCGCCCCAAAAACAACAACAACAGCAGCAGCAACAACCAAAGATTGTCTCAGTCGAGGAGATCTTCTACAAGTACGGACTTGGTGAGTGAACAAAACCCAAATAAGCTCAGCTTTGGCTAGCCGAAGATTTGATGCTCTTGCAGCGTTGTAATTGTGCCAATTAAAATTTAGAGCATTCCACCCGCAAAGATGGGAAATGTGTGGAATTTGCCTTGAACTAATTTTGAATGATCTGTGTCAAGAAATCACGCTCAAAGCTTTCACAAAAAATTGGTTTAATTATAGATTATTAATATCTATTTTTGATAGCAGCAACAATTTTGATAATTGATAATTGCTATAATTTTTTTAAACAAAATTAGAAAATATTTCTTAGCTCCATTCTCTTAATTTAAAAAAATTAAAAATTAAGTAAGTTCAAGGTAGTAAAAAGTCATTGCCAAATAACTGTAATTTCTAAAAGTTCTAACGTCCGAGCCAATCGCTTAAACGAGTTACCCCCAAGGTCGGAAAATAGGTGAAACACAATTGTGTTCGTTCCGGGCAAAGCCGCATTATGCTGTTATTTAATATCTAAAGGCGATATGTGCAATATCTGCTGCAAGAGCTATCAATATACATATATATACATATATTTGTATTTCGTTATCATTTCGTTTCTAATTAGTTTGTGCCTGACAAATAGTCATCATTTTGTGTGTTTGTTTTTCTTCTTCTTGTTGTTGTTATTGTTAATTCCTCTGTGTATCCTCGCGACCGCACCTTAGCACCTTAGTAAACGTCACCAGGTCTGGTCACTCTGTCACTGAGTGTTGTTTTTTTTTATATATGTTAGTCACTTTTTTTTTTTTTAGCAGTAAACAAGTCGCTCTCTTTCCTCTCTCTTTTAGCCTGTGTGCCTTTTGCTTTGCGGCTTTGGCATTTTGGTTTTTGCGTGAATTTTATTGCTTGCTGATGTCATCGGCATCAAGTTTTGCGCTGTTTTTTATGTACACAATAATACAACAATGCTTAAATACATTTAATGCGCATAGAATTTCACTTGCCAAACGTTTTACGTTACGGCTGGAATTTCGCATGCAGCGTCTCGCCCTCTCGCTCTCGCTCTCTTAAGAGCTTTAAATTGCAGGCGATCTTCAATCGTCATCGACAATGTGACCAACTATCGATAACCACAAATTGCTGAAATATCGATTGAAAGTAGCCTTCAATTATGCGAACACTTTCGCTTTCCATATGTGATCAGAACGTTAGGTAACATGTCATTAGTCTAACAATTTTTACAAAAAATAAAAAAAATACGTAATTTAAATACATTTGTCAGCTTTTTGCACCTTGCAATAAATAGCCAGAATTACAGGCAGCAGCCGAAACAGTTAAATTGCCAGCACTGCTCGATTGACACCTGAGTCACGGCTGCGCAATTAACTATTGAATTAGTCAATAGCAATTCTTTAAAATGGCATAGTTTAAATGTGCCGATTCTTATTTTTATTATTTCTTATTCATTTGATGAATCAGCAGCTGTTTTTGACTTTTCAATGACGTGTGTGCAAAGCATTCATAATTCATACATATTTCACATTTATTCTTTTTGTACTATTTTAGCGTGTGTCCATAAAAGCAATTACGGCAAACACACACACACACACACAAACATACATATAGGCAAAGAGCGAGAGAGGGAGAGAGAGCGCGAGGGGCAGCTGCTGCTCTTTAAAGTACTCTCTAATTTAAGCCTTGCCTGCATAATTCAATTGTCTAGTTGGGGGCCCGCTTCGCTGCGCAAATTCATTTTAATATCAGTTTTGTATACCCTGCACGCAAAGTGTAAAAAGAGTACATTGGTTTTGTGCAATGTCTGTCTATATATACTGATCCCGGTACACTGCAGTACAGTTTTAGATTCACAGATTGCTGAACTGTAAGACTGTAGTCTTAAAGTCAAAATGAGAAAAACTCCTTTCAAAACAATCTTATTGGTAATTGCACTTTGTACAGAGTAGCGCGCAGTCGGCTGCGCCCGACTTGACTTTTTGTGTTCTGCAATCTTCATTTTCACCGCATGCTGGCAAAATTTTCCAATTAGTAATCTGCTTTGTTTTTTTTCTTTTTTTGCGCTGCAATCGCGGCGTTGCCTTTGTCTTTATTTGCTATTTTTATGGCAAGTACATGCTAAATGGCTGCTTGACTGTCTGTCTGACTAGTCTGTCTGCCCATTTGTCTGTCAGTCTAGCATTATGTGTGCTTCTTCTTTTCTTTCCAATTGGCATTGACTTTGCTGCGGCGGCTGCTGCTTTCTGCTTGTCATCGACCGAGCTGACGGCACAATTTCGATAACGATAATGATTTTTTCCTTACCAGTTGCTCTTTTGCGCATTGTCTTTGTCCGTGTGAGTGTGTGTGTGTGTGTGTGTATTTATGTGTATCAGTGCTGCCGATTATAAAGATGCATATACATTACTAGCTTATCTAGTTCATGAAGGGAAACATAGTTAAAAATATTGGTTGAAAAGCAAGTTGGGATTAGCCAGCTAGATTATATCCTGTATTCAATTAGGAGCTGCCCTAACCTCTTTTTTTTTCATTTGGGAAATTTGGGAATTTTGCGATTTGGCTCATACAATCTTCATGACATTTTAAAAAATCGAGGTTTAATTTCGATATTGAAATAAAATTTTCCTTCATTTAAATTTCTGAAAAACTAAAATAGCTTGAATTCCCTTTCTCGGCTGTTTTACAATTACATTTAAACAAAAAGCTAGATTAGGCCATACATTATCGAAATTCACAACACTGGCGAGCATATAAGCCCTTGTTTTGGCTTCCCTTTCATTTACTTGCTCCTTACGCTTTTCAATAAGCCTATTTGCCTTTCTGTGTTCCATAGTTAATTACAAATTTGCTCAGCACTGTTGCATCTGGTCCCTTGCTTTGGCTTCCCTTTCTCTCTCCCTCTCGCTCTCTGCGCTTATTCAAGCCTTAGCGCGTGCTAGGCCTGCACTTATCGGCGCCTCCGCTATGCACTTATCGCCCGCTTTATAACTGTAGCTGAGTCGCCGGCATTGCTCACATGTCTATCAGAAGGCAATTAAGTGCAGCTTATAAATAGACTGTGAATATCGTCAAGAAGTTAAATACTCGAAGAAGAAAATACGTTGTACATAATTACATATGTACTTAGCATGCATTCAAATTGTGTTTAAGACAAAAAAAAACTTATATATATGTATATATAGAGTGTATTTACAAGGC